GTAAAGATGTGGAAACGAGGAACGCTGAGCTAGCAATTGCCCGAAGGAACCAAAGCGTCCGCCTTTCCATGAAAAAATTTGTGTGATCGTGCTGAACTTCCGTTGTCGATAGCTAATGTCAAGCTGTAGGACTTGGTTGTGAAGATGCGACTTGACACCGGTGCCGACGTATCAAGGATTAGCTGCGGGACGTGGATGGGGTTGGTTAACCCTGAAGGCCCAACCTGCCCAATGGACAGCTGCAAATGGATCGCTGATCGAAGTTACAGGAGTTTATGAGAGCTGTTCACATGCTCCAAGGATTATTTTACGTCTTCAAAGACCTGAATTTGCTAGGAATGGATATGTTTCAACAGCTGCCGCCATTCCGAGATACCCTTTCCATTTGTTTGTTTGTTGTGGATGCCTCTTCGCCACTGGACGACCGCCTCGCAACTGTCCCAAAAGTCTGGAGGTGGGATACGTTAAGAAGTTTAAAGCTTACCTGGTGCTGATGAAGAATGCCACACCCGTCTACGTGCCGAAGTGAAGAGTACCGTTTGCCGCAGAACATCTCGTTAACACAGAGCCCGCCTCGTCGTCGTGGGAGTTCTGTCACCGGTAAATTACTCACAGTGGGAGTTCTGTCACCGGTCAATTACAGTCCTCCCATCGTCCTAGCCAAGAAGGAGAATGGAACAGTACGCATCGCCGACATCACCAGACCGGACGATGCCATTGGAGCTTAGGGGCACCGTATATCCAAATTCTTGATTTCCAAGATTTTGTCGCTTTTAGGCTTTCTAAAGGGCCTGAGTGCGAGTATGGAGTCGAAAATCCGCGAAACAACCCAAAATTTCCGTTTTATAGGAACGGGAACGGGTGCATGCAAGTCGCAGGGCTGCGGCGCTGATATGCACCGTGCGAACCTGCGAGCCTGCAGAACGTGTAAAATGGGCGGGGTGACTAACTGGGTGGAATAACCAGCTCCGGATACGTTCCTTTCGAAGGGGATTTCTCGCTCCGGAAGCAATCTCTTGCGTCGCAACATG